GAGAGGCCAGAGAGAGAGAGGCCATAGAGAGAGAGGCCATAGAGAGAGAGGCCATAGAGAGAGAGGCCATAGAGAGAGAGGCCATAGAGAGAGAGGCCATAGAGAGAGAGGCCATAGAGAGAGAGGCCAGAGAGAGAGGCCAGAGAGAGAGAGGCCAGAGAGAGAGAGGCCAGAGAGAGAGAGAGGCCAGAGACAATGCACTACAGAAAAGGTCTCATCCACTTGGAGCATTATAGTCGGCCCAGACTCTGATCGTGAGAGCTGTATTCACACAAACACAGCTCCACGGCTCGTTACACTGTCCTTATAAACAGAACTGTCCCTGATGTGTCAGAATAATAACTGACAGAAGTGACGCAACCAGTCTGTGCCATCGGCCCCTCCCACCACCGCCAACCACTCACACACACACCAGACTCATTCTAGGCAATGGGGGTGAAGTGTCTTGCCTAAGGACACAACAGCAGTTTGGCACTTTACAGCCGCAGCCGCCCCACTGTGGCTGGTGTTCCCAAAGGTCTCCCATCACGGTGCTAACCAGGCCCTGAGGGAATCTGGCTTTTTGCATGCAAGTATTGAACCTATGACCTTCAGGCTCAGAGGCCAATGCTCTACACACTAAGCCACTGTCGCTCCTGTGTGTGTAGTGTTGGACCGAGCAGAGACGGTTCTTCCTGAGACTTTGTGACTGAGCACTTCTCTCTGCACTTACACTCTTTCCTCCCGTCTCTCGTCTGCGTCTGGCCCTCACCGCTTTTCGCATTAATTTCCCGTAATTGCCGGAGCTCTGAGCACCTGGCCGATGCTTAATTGTGTGCACGGCGTTGGCACAATGACCTGTAATTTTAGTTTCGTCTTTTTCTCCTGTTTTCGCTCTGTCTCCATCAGATCGCCTTTCGCTTACCCGCCTACGTGTGCGGCGGAGATGTGGGCCCGAGAGCTGGTTAATGAGGCGTGTTTAAGACGGGCAGGTGCGGGGAGCAGAGTGGACAGGGGTCTGCGGGAAAAAAACACGGATTTAAAGCTGCGGTACCTAAGTTTGATGATAAATAACATGTAGTTTGCCCTGACAGAAAGAGTCTGGGAAGGATAATGTTGTGAACAAAACTGACCACAACATGTGTCTTCATCTTCTGAGAACACATGTGATCGTATGGGTAAGAAAGAGAAAGAGCTGAGAGAGGGGGGGTCTCTCTGTTTGAAAAAGATCTGATCTAAAGAGGACACAGAGGCCAGAAATACATGTGAAGACTAGTTATAGAAGCAAATGTAGAGAGAGAGACCAGAGAGAGATAGAGACCAGAGAGAGAGAGCAGAGAGAGAGAGCAGAGAGAGAGAGCAGAGAGAGAGAGAGAGAGAGAGACCAGAGAGAGAGAGACCAGAGAGAGACCAGAGAGAGATAGAGACCAGAGAGAGAGAGCAGAGAGAGAGACCAGAGAGAGAGACCAGAGAGAGAGAGCAGAGAGAGAGAGCAGAGAGAGAGACCAGAGAGAGAGACCAGAGAGAGAGAGCAGAGAGAGAGAGCAGAGCGAGAGAGAGACCAGAGAGAGAGAGACCAGAGAGAGAGAGCAGAGAGAGAGACCAGAGAGAGAGAGCAGAGCGAGAGAGAGACCAGAGAGAGAGAGACCAGAGAGAGAGAGCAGAGAGAGAGACAGAGAGAGAGACAAGAGAGAGAGGAGCGAGAGAGAGACCAGAGAGAGAGAGACCAGAGAGAGAGAGACCAGAGAGAGAGAGCAGAGAGAGAGACCAGAGAGAGAGACCAGAGAGAGAGACCAGAGAGAGATAGAGACCAGAGAGAGAGAGCAGAGAGAGAGAGAGCAGAGAGAGAGAGCAGAGAGAGAGAGCAGAGAGAGAGAGCAGAGAGAGAGAGCAGAGAGAGAGAGCAGAGAGAGAGAGCAGAGAGAGAGACCAGAGAGAGAGATCAGAGAGAGAGATCAGAGAGAGAGATCAGAGAGAGAGACCAGAGAGAGAGACCAGAGAGAGAGACCAGAGAGAGAGACCAGAGAGAGAGACCAGAGAGAGAGACCAGTGAGAGAGACCAGAGAGAGAGACCAGAGAGAGACCAGAGAGAGACCAGAGAGAGACCAGAGAGAGACCAGAGAGAGACAAGTGAGAGACCAGAGAGAGACCAGAGAGAGACAAGTGAGAGACACCTAACCGTCACGTTAGCTAGCGGCTGTGTCATGTATTTACCGTTGGAGTAACACGAAACAACGAGACCAAGAAAGGTGAACTGTGTTAGAGCGAGGGGCCACGTTACCATGGTATGTCTTCTTTAACTGAATCGTTGAAAATGACTGATTTAAAGTTATTTGAGTGAATAAAATTGGCAGAAATCGCTGTAGAATCGCTCCCAATATAAATGTTTTGTGTCTTGTTTTGAAAAGCACAAAGAGCCGCAGCGCGAGGAGAGAGAGGCGTCTGCGGCTCCAGCTCAGAACAAGCAATAATTACTCATTCAAATGGACAGACAGCAGCCTCCCCTTCACACACACACACACACACAGAGACACACACACACACACACAGAGACACACACACACACACACACTTCACGTCTGGTGCGGGGAGCGATCCATCAGCAGCGCAGCGGGAAAGACAAGCTCCATACGGCTCCTGTGTGCGGCTGCCATGTTGGAAATGCCCCCACACACATTGACACACAAAGACACAAGCATACACACACATTGACTCATGCATACACACACACACAATGACAGTCTAACACACACCCACCCTCAAAGACACAAATACACACATTGACACTCGCAGGAACGCACACACACACACGCATGCATACTGACATGTGCGGACATAAAAAGGTGCACATACACGACAATTATGCACACATACACACTTTGACACTCGCGGAAACACACATAATTGACATGTGCGGAAATGCACACACACACTTGCATTTGCCACAGACTTCCACACACACACTCACTGATATACGCACACACTGACTCTCACACACACACACACATACACATATATACACTCACACTGACTCTCACACACACACACACATACACATATATACACTGACACACACACACACACACACATATATACACTCACACTGACTCACACATATATATACTCACACTGACTGACAGACACACACACACACACACTGACACACACATATATACACTCACACTGACTGACACACACACACACACACACACACACACTGACACACACACACACACTCTGTCACTTCCAGCTTCCAGACTGTACAGTGTGAAGGAGGAACATCTGCAGATCAATGAAACAAAAATAAGATTAAATTCATGTGAAACTGTCGACAAAAACCTCATTCGCACTGAGCAAAAACCCTGAGTCGTCTCTCCCTCTGAGCGACACGGTCTCTCCCTCTGAGCGACACGGTCTCTCCCTCTGAGCGACACGGTCTCTCCCTCTGAGCGACACGGTCTCTCCTCTCTGAGCGACACGGTCTCTCCCTCTGAGCGACACGGTCTCTCCCTCTGAGCGACACGGTCTCTCCCTGAGCGACACGGTCTCTCCCTCTGAGCGACTCGGTCTCTCCCTCTGAGCGACACGGTCTCTCCCTCTGAGCGACTCGGTCTCTCCCTCTGAGCGACTTGGTCTCTCCCTCTGAGCGACACGGTCTCTCCCCCTGAGCGACACGGTCTCTCCCCCTGAGCGACACGGTCTCTCCCTCTGAGCGACACGGTCTCTCCCTCTAAGCGGAGCGACACAGTCTCTCCCTCTGAGCGACACGGTCTCTCCCTCTAAGCGACACGGTCTCTCCCCCTGAGCGACACGGTCTCTCCCTCTGAGCGACACGGTCTCTCCCTCTGAGCGACACGGTCTCTCCCCCTGAGCGACACGGTCCGGTCTCTCCCCCTGAGCGACACGGTCTCTCCCTCTGAGCGACACGGTCTCTCCCTCTGAGCGACACGGTCTCCCCCTGAGCGACACGGTCTCTCCCCCTGAGCGACACGGTCTCTCCCTCTGAGCGACACGGTCTCTCCCTCTGAGCGACACGGTCTCTCCCTCTGAGCGACACGGTCTCTCCCTCTGAGCGACACGGTCTCCTGAGCGACACGGTCTCTCCCCCTGAGCGACACGGTCTCTCCCCCTGAGCGACACGGTCTCTCCCCCTGAGCGACACGGTCTCTCCCTCTGAGCGACACGGTCTCTCCCCCTGAGCGACACGGTCTCTCCCTCTGAGCGACACGGTCTCTCCCCCTGAGCGACACGGTCTCTCCCCCTGAGCGACACGGTCTCTCCCCTGAGCGACACGGTCTCTCCCCCTGAGCGACACGGTCTCTCCCCCTGAGCGACACGGTCTCTCCCCCTGAGCGACACGGTCTCTCCCTCTGAGCGACACGGTCTCTCCCCCTGAGCGACACGGTCTCTCCCTCTGAGCGACACGGTCTCTCCCTCTGAGCGACACGGTCTCTCCCCCTGAGCGACACGGTCTCTCCCCCTGAGCGACACGGTCTCTCCCCCTGAGCGACACGGTCTCTCCCCCTGAGCGACACGGTCTCTCCCCCTGAGCGACACGGTCTCTCCCCCTGAGCGACACGGTCTCTCCCCCTGAGCGACACGGTCTCTCCCTCTGAGCGACACGGTCTCTCCCCCTGAGCGACACGGTCTCTCCCCCTGAGCGACACGGTCTCTCCCCCTGAGCGACACGGTCTCTCCCCCTGAGCGACACGGTCTCTCCCCCTGAGCGACACGGTCTCTCCCCCTGAGCGACACGGTCTCTCCCCCTGAGCGACACGGTCTCTCCCCCTGAGCGACACGGTCTCTCCCTCTGAGCGACACGGTCTCTCCCCCTGAGCGACACGGTCTCTCCCCTGAGCGACACGGTCTCTCCCCCTGAGCGACACGGTCTCTCCCCCTGAGCGACACGGTCTCTCCCTCTGAGCGACACGGTCTCTCCCTCTGAGCGACACGGTCTCTCCCTCTGAGCGACACGGTCTCTCCCTCTGAGCGACACGGTCTCTCCTCTGAGCGACACGGTCTCTCCCCCTGAGCGACACGGTCTCTCCCCCTGAGCGACACGGTCTCTCCCCCTGAGCGACACGGTCTCTCCCCCTGAGCGACACGGTCTCTCCCCCTGAGCGACACGGTCTCTCCCCCTGAGCGACACGGTCTCTCCCCCTGAGCGACACGGTCTCTCCCCCTGAGCGACACGGTCTCTCCCCCTGAGCGACACGGTCTCTCCCCCTGAGCGACACGGTCTCTCCCCCTGAGCGACACGGTCTCTCCCTGAGCGACACGGTCTCTCCCCCTGAGCGACACGGTCTCTCCCCCTGAGCGACACGGTCTCTCCCCCTGAGCGACACGGTCTCTCCCCCTGAGCGACACGGGTCTCTCCCCCTGAGCGACACGGTCTCTCCCCCTGAGCGACACGGTCTCTCCCTCTGAGCGACACGGTCTCTCTCTCTGAGCGACACGGTCTCTCCCTCTGAGCGACACGGTCTCTCCCCCTGAGCGACACGGTCTCTCCCTCTGAGCGACACGGGTTGGTGTGTCCGGGCAACTCTGCATTTAACCCGCCCTGCGACCTAGTCCTTGTCAGTGTGAACACTCTGTGCAAATATAGATAGATTTCTAGTTCACTGACCACATGTGGCTCAGAGGAAGGAGAGAGAGTGAACACTGCACACGGCTCACACACACACACAATACTGTTTATAATGACAGCGTGACGAGCCGTGGAGCTGTGTTCGGGTGAATGAAGCTCTTATCATCAGAGTTTGGGTTCTGCTCTCTCCTTTAGAAATCATATGTTCTTGTGAAAAAAGTGGTATTGCTTCACAAGGATGACAAACTTCTAGTCCATTATAGCGTGAGTCTCTCGGGTCTCTCTCGTTGCTCTCTCTCTGGCCTCTCCTTTCTCTGGTCTCTCTTTGCTCTCTCTCTCACTTGTCCCTCTTTTTGCTCTCGCTCTGGTCTCTCTCGTGTGTGGTTGTGTGGGTCTCTGGTCTCCCTCTGGTCTCTCTTTGGTCTCTCTCTCTGGCTTCTCTTTCTCTCTGGTCTTTCTCTGGTTTCTCTCTCTGGTCTTGCTGGTCTCTCTTTTGTATCTTTTTCTCTCTGTTCTCTCTCTCTTGCTGGTCTCCCTCTGGTCTCTCTCTCTCTCTCTAGTCTTTCTCCTTTGTTGACATCTTGGTTCTTTCTCCTTGTTTTCTTTCGCAGTCCTCTCTCTCTCAGCTTCACGCTCAGTTCCTGCTGCTGCTCGACTCTCTCTCTGAGTTCTGGGAGGTTTTGGAGGAAATCGACCTGAAGACCTGGGTCCTGGAGCCGGAGAGACCGAGCCGATCTGACACCATGAGACGCATCGCCATCGGTACGAATACTAACCCTGAAGTGAACTCCTCTGGCTCAGACCCACCGACCAATCAGGAGCCTTCTGTCCCGGTTTAGTTTCTGTTGCTGGTTTGTTGCTACCCACAATTTAATCCTCATAGACATGTTTGAGGAAGCTCTAGTCCTCAATCTAAGGTAGCTCTAATCTTTGCTCTCTCTCTGGTCTCACTCTGGTCTCACTCTGGTCTCCATTTCTGGTCTCTCCTTGGTCTCTCTGTCTCTGTTCCCTCTCTGGCCTCTCCTTTCTCTCTCTGGTTTCTCTCTCTCAGGTCTTTCTCGTGGTCTCTCTCTCTCTGGTCTCTTTCTTTCCAGATTCCTGCCAATGGAGCCTGTTTTTAGCTTTAATCCTCAGACATGTTTGAGGTAGCTCTAGTCCTCAATCTAATGTAGCTCTAATCTTTTCTCTTTCTCTAGTCTCACTCTGGTCTCTCTCTGGTCTCTCTCTCTGGTCTCGCTGGTCCCTCTCTCTGGTCTCTTTTTCTCTTCTGTTTCTTGCCAATGGAGCCTGTTTTTAACTTTAATCCTTAATCTGTTTGAGATGTACACAAAGGTGGAGCCCTGAAACTTAATCAGAACAAGAGAAAACTAGTCAAATCAATAACAGAAATGTATGAACGAAACATCTAAATTGTTTGATGGAATCCCAGTTAATCTGTGATCATCTGAGATAATCTTTCAGGGAACAACGCGTCTGTCAAAGTGGAGGTGGATCCTCGACACCCGAAGATGCTCCCGGACTGCTGCCTCCTGGGGGCAGAGCACGGTGAGAGAGACCAGAGAGAGAGAGAGACCAGAGAGAAAGAGACCAGAGAAAGAGACCAGAGAGAGACCAGAGAGAGAGAGAGAGACCAGAGAGAGCGAGACCAGAGAGAGAGAGAGACCAGAGAAAGAGACCAGAGAGAGACCAGAGAGAGAGAGAGACCAGAGAGAGAGGCCAGAGAGAGAGAGAGACCAAGGAGCGAGACCAGGGAGAGAGACCAGAGAGGGAGAGACCAGAGAGAGAGACCAGAGCGAGAGAGACCAGAGCGAGAGAGACCAGAGCGAGAGAGACCAGAGCGAGAGACCAGAGAGGGAGACCTGGTTCTGTAATATATTCTTAAGTAAAATAATGTTTATCATTTTGTTTGCAGTAGTGACTCCTCTGAGGAACAAACTCAACGCCAACATGCACCTGTGGTAAGAACTGCCTTTCACCTGGTTCAGGGAAATCCCATTTCTGGTTTAAATGTTGAGTCCTGGTCTCTGCAGGAGTCCAGACCTCAGCCTCCTCTCGAACCTCTGTGACGTCCTGGAGACTCAGTTTCCGTCTCCTTCCACCCACGACAAGTCTGTGAGTCTCTGAGTCTGTCTCTGCGTCTGTCTCTGCGTCTGTCTCTGCGTCTGTCTCTGCGTCTGTCTCTGCGTCTGCCTCTGCGTCTGTCTCTGCGTCTGCCTCTGCGTCTGCCTCTGCGTCTGTCTCTGCGTCTGTCTCTGCGTCTGTCTCTGCGTCTGCCTCTGCGTCTGCCTCTGCGTCTGCCTCTGCGTCTGCCTCTGCCTCTGCGTCTGCCTCTGCGTCTGCGTCTGTCTCTGGGTCTGTCTCTGGGTCTGTCTCTGCGTCTGTCTCTGCGTCTGTCTCTGCGTCTGTCTCTGCGTCTGCCTCTGCGTCTGCCTCTGCGTCTGCCTCTGCGTCTGCCTCTGCGTCTGCCTCTGCGTCTGTCTCTGCGTCTGTCTCTGCGTCTGTCTCTGCGTCTGTCTCTGCGTCTGTCTCTGCGTCTGTCTCTGCGTCTGTCTCTGCGTCTGTCTCTGCCTCTTCTGCGTCTGCCTCTGCGTCTGCCTCTGCGTCTGCCTCTGCGTCTGCCTCTGCGTCTGCCTCTGCGTCTGCCTCTGCGTCTGCCTCTGCGTCTGCCTCTGCGTCTGTCTCTGCGTCTGCTGTCTCTGCCTCTGCTGTCTCTGCCTCTTCTGCGTCTGCCTCTGCGTCTGTCTCTGCGTCTGTCTCTGCGTCTGCTGTCTCTGCCTCTGCTGTCTCTGCCTCTGCTGCGTCTGCCTCTGCGTCTGCCTCTGCGTCTGCCTCTGCGTCTGCCTCTGCGTCTGCCTCTGCGTCTGCCTCTGGGTCTGCCTCTGCGTCTGCCTCTGCGTCTGCCTCTGCGTCTGTCTCTGCGTCTGTCTCTGCGTCTGTCTCTGCGTCTGCTGTCTCTGCCTCTTCTGCGTCTGCCTCTGCGTCTGCCTCTGCGTCTGTCTCTGCGTCTGTCTCTGCGTCTGCTGTCTCTGCCTCTGCTGTCTCTGCCTCTGCTGTCTCTGCCTCTTCTGCGTCTGCCTCTGCGTCTGCCTCTGCCTCTGCGTCTGCCTCTGCGTCTGTCTCTGGGTCTGTCTCTGAGTCTGTCTCTGCGTCTGTCTCTGCGTCTGTCTCTGGGTCTGTCTCTGGGTCTGTCTCTGCGTCTGTCTCTGCGTCTGTCTCTGCGTCTGTCTCTGCGTCTGTCTCTGCGTCTGTCTCTGGGTCTGTCTCTGCGTCTGCCTCTGCGTCTGCCTCTGCGTCTGTCTCTGCGTCTGTCTCTGCGTCTGTCTCTGGGTCTGTCTCTGCGTCTGTCTCTGCGTCTGTCTCTGCGTCTGTCTCTGCGTCTGTCTCTGCGTCTGTCTCTGCGTCTGTCTCTGCGTCTGCCTCTGCGTCTGTCTCTGCGTCTGTCTCTGCGTCTGTCTCTGCGTCTGTCTCTGGGTCTGTCTCTGGGTCAAACTCACTCCAAACCCTGCTCTCGCTCAATCACTCTGTGTCGGACTCTCCCAGTTTAACAAGTTTGTGTGTATTGTGTGTGTGTGTGTGTGTGTTGTGTAGAGCCTGAGTGTGGAGTGTGGCATCTGTTACTCGTTCCGTTTAGAAACTCGGATCCCGGATCAGGTCTGTAATGACCCACGCTGCGGTCAGCCCTTCCACCAGGACTGTCTGTACCAGGTATACACACACACACACACACACCAGGACTGTCTGTACCAGGTATACACACACACACACACACACACACACACACACCAGGACTGTCTGTACCAGGTATACACACACACACACACCAGGACTGTCTGTACCAGGTATACACACACACACACCAGGACTGGCTGTACCAGGTATACACACACACACCAGGACTGTCTGTACCAGGTATACACACACACACACCAGGACTGTCTGTACCAGGTATACACACACACACCAGGACTGTCTGTACCAGGTATACACACACACACCAGGACTGTCTGTACCAGGTATACACACACACACCAGGACTGTCTGTACCAGGTATACACACACACACACACCAGGACTGTCTGTACCAGGTATACACACACACACACACCAGGACTGTCTGTACCAGGTATACACACACACACACACACACCAGGACTGTCTGTACCAGGTATACACACACACACCAGGACTGTCTGTACCAGGTATACACACACACACCAGGACTGTCTGTACCAGGTATACACACACACACTTGCATAACGTGCCACTTGCCCCTGTGTGTGTGTGTGTAACTATCATCTGTTGTGTGTTTCTCTCACCTGTGTGTGTTTGCAGTGGCTGCGTGCGCTGCCCTCCACTCGTCAGAGCTTTAACGTTGTGTTTGGAGAGTGTCCGTACTGCAGTCAGGTGAGACCTGTTTACTCTGTACCTTTGAGAAACTGGTAGTGCTACATAAATAAATACATTAGGAAGAAAAGACACACAACTTATCTTTGCAGCCTTTACTTCATGAGGCGTGACATAAAACCAGAGTTTGTGCCGTTACAGAAAAGTCTAAAAATGTTAAAATGACACATGAAGTACAAAGTAATGACCAGTGTGGCTGTAACGTTCACTGTCAGCAGGAACAACGCTCTCTTTCTTTACTCATAATAATAAAAACAGTTCTACGGTCTGTCAGCAGCTTTTTCATGTTAACACCTATTTTAAAATATCCTCTTTCAGCCGATCACGGTGAAAATGGCGCCGCAGCAGTGACCGTCAGAGGTTGAGCGTTACCGCGGCGACCAGGAGGCAGAGGCCGGCAGAGGCCGGCACAGAGCCACCAGCGGAGCGCCCCCGTGTGGTCAGTGCTGCAGGAGTCCTCTCTGTGACACGGACTGCTCCTCACTTTCTGCAGAGACGAATGTTTGAGAATGTTCCAGAATAAACTTCATGCTTTTGTTAAATTCTGTGTCGTTCATTTTCATTTCCATAAACACAATTAAAGGTCTTTATGAAGAGCCTGCTGGTCCTCCCCTCTCTCTCTCTCTCTCCTAGTGTCATGCTGGTCCTCTCCTGTCTTTCTCCTAGTGTCATGCTGGTCCTCTCCTCTCTCTCTCTCTCTCCTAGTGTCATGCTGGTCCTCTCCTCTCTCTCTCTCCTAGTGTCATGCTGGTCCTCTCCTGTCTTTCTCCTAGTGTCATGCTGGTCCTCTCCTCTCTCTCTCTCTCTCCTAGTGTCATGCTGGTCCTCTCCTCTCTCTCCTAGTGTTATGCTGGTCCTCTTCTGTCTCTCTCCTAGTGTCATGCTGATCCTCTGCTGTCTTTCTCCTAGTGTCATGCTGGTCCTCTCCTCTCTCTCTCTCTCTCCTAGTGTCATGCTGGTCCTCTCCTCTCTCTCTCTCTCTCCTAGTGTCATGCTGGTCCTCTCCTCTCTCTCTCTCTCTCTCTCTCCCTCTCTCTCTCTCTCCTAGTGTCATGCTGGTCCTCTCCTCTTTCTCTCTCTCTCCTAGTGTCATGCTGGTCCTCTCCTCTCTCTCTCTCTCTCTCCTAGTGTCATGCTGGTCCTCTCCTCTCTCTCTCTCTCTCTCTCCTAGTGTCATGCTGGTCCTCTCCTCTCTCTCTCTCTCTCCTAGTGTTATGCCGGTCATCTCCTGTCTTTCTCCTAGTGTCATGCTGGTCCTCTGCCGTCTTTCTCCTAGTGTTATGCCGGTCATCTCCTGTCTTTAGGAAAGTTCAAAGGTAGCAACAACCTAGCAACAAATGAGCCAATCAGAAGTAAGCAGCAAAAATAGAGCTGACAATAATCTGTTGATTGATTGAAATGTATTTATGGTCCGGTCTCTCTCTGGTCTCTTGTTAAATAGTCGTCGTGTCAGTGGTCATAATGTTTTGGCTGGAGCAGTATTGGAGTGAGATGTGTTGCTCACCGCTTCAGTGTGGGGGCCCCTGGGTCTGGGGCCTCTGCGGAGTCGTGCTCTTTCTTCCTCCTCGTCTTCGTCGTCTGTGTGGAAGTGTGTGTGTGTTGGCACAGGGAGCGAGCGCGCTTCAGTCTGACACACAACGTTGTCACATGTTTAGCTCCGCCCACATCAGACACTGTCTCTGTGTGTGTCTGTGTCTGTCTCTGTGTGTGTCTGTGTCTCTGTGTGTGTCTGTGTGTGTCTGTGTCTGTCTCTGTGTGTGTCTGTGTCTCTGTGTGTGTCTGTGTCCATCTGTGTCTGTCCCTGTATCTCTCTGTCCGTCTGTGTCTGTCTCTGTGTCTGTCTGTGTGTGTGTCCATCTGTGTGTGTCCAAATCTACAGTTGTGCGCACATTTCTCCTCCATCATGAAATGTATAATACTTCCACTGGTCGTTGTGCTGTCAGACTGACCTGTACCTGTGCTCTGCAGAGGGGAGGTCCTCTTAAATACTTTGGATCGATCCGTGTTGTCTCCTCCTCTTCTTCTTCATCCTCTTCTTCATCCTCTTCTTCATCCAGCTCCATGGCCTCAGCTGCAGACTGACAGAAACACAAGAGTTCAGTGACATGTATTTAACCAGGACCGAGACCCTGAGACTCAGAGAGAGAGAGAGAGACCAGAGAGAGAGAGACCAGAGAGGGAGACCAGAGAGAGAGACCAGAGAGAGAGACCAGAGAGAGAGAGAGAGACCAGAGAGAGAGAGACCAGAGAGGGAGACCAGAGAGAGAGACCAGAGAGAGAGACCAGAGAGAGAGAGACCAGAGAGAGAGAGAGAGAGACCAGAGAGAGAGACCAGAGAGAGAGACCAGAGAGAGAGACCAGAGAGGGAGACCAGAGAGGGAGACCAGAGAGAGAGACCAGAGAGAGAGACCAGAGAGAGAGACCAGAGAGAGAGACCAGAGAGAGAGACCAGAGAGAGAGAGCTATATTGTTCTACATTCAGGTGACGCACTTGTGAGCTGGAGATGGGAGGTCCTCGCAGATATTTGGGATCAATCTGTTTTGGCTTCATCCTCTTCTCCTCTTCCTCCACCTCCACGGCCTCAGCTCCAGGCGCACCTCGGCCTCTGCCTGTTTTCTGATCAACGAGAACTGGTTCAATTCTGCATCATGTATATAATACTGGACACAACCAGAGGGAGAGAGAGACCAAAGAGAGACTGGCAAGAGAGAGCGAGATTAGGGAGAAACCAGAGAAAGACTTGGAGAGAGAGAGACCAGTGTTTTTTAATCAAATCTGCATCATGAAACTGAGCCTCCACAGCCGATAAATGAAAGAGCGCTCTACATCCTCCTCTGCTAAGACCATTGACAAGACACAAACCTTGGGTCTTCGCACTGGTTCCTGGGGTCTGGACTCGGGTTTGGGTCTCAGGTCTAAGTCCAGTCCAGACCCGGGGCGGTGCAGGATCCGTCGGAGGAGGTCGTAGTCTGGTTTGTCCTGATACTGCAGCGAGCGCACATGTCGGAGGAAGGAGCACAATTCATCTGAGAAACAAAAGAAAAAGACACACAACTTTAAAGCTGGGGTTTGTAACTTTAAATCCTCGACCAATTAAACTACAGCATGTGATCAAATTCATGTCTTGTTCCTGGTTTGCTTCTATCATTTGTTCTCCTTATTTCTGCCTCTGTCCTTTCTTTAGATCTGTTTTTTCAAAGAGAAAAGCGAAGAAGAGAGGACCACCCTCTCTCAGCCAATCAGCTCTCAGCCCAAAGAGTCAAACAGTGACTCACAGGGATCTGCATGATGTGGTCTGTCTGTTGGATCAAAGTCTTAACAATAACTTATATGTTTTATTTTATTCCTGCTCATAGATATGAAAGTGAGTCTGAAGCTGCAGGAGTGTGTTTCCTCCAGCAGGTGGCACTGCAGCTGCTCTCACTCTCACAGGACGAACACAGGGGAACAGACTGGATCAGCCTCAAAGGGACAGAGGGAGACTCAGAACCACAGACCTCACCAGGCGGGGAATCGTTCACTGCTTTGAAGACTTTATTTACTATTCTATTTTTTATGTTTTTTTACGTTTTAAGAAAATATTTTTAAAAGATACATTTATTTAAATTTGAATTTTATTTATTAAAGTCATTTCTGTGTCTTTCACAGGTTTAGATAAAGACCATGTGACGAGTCTCACACCAGCGTCGTTCAGGAAGTTAAATAAAACAGTTTTTATCAATATTACTTTAGTAACAGTTTGGTCCAGACCTGTCCCTGGCTGATCTGAGGTCAGCTGCTTCACAGACTCCGGCAGGGCCTGCAGGAACCTGAGGAAACACGAGAGCGCTTTAACCAGAGGATGTTTGTGTGGGTCTGGAGCTGGTCCCAGGGTCCAGGCCCCGGGGTCTGGGGTCTGGGGTCTGGGGTCTGGGGTCTGGGGTCTGGGGTCCATTCAAATGGAACTTTAACAAATATTTTTACTCTGAACAATAGGACACTTTGTTGTGCTGTTGTTGTCCCAGTCCAAAACTTGTTCCTTTCTGGTCTCAGTCCACTCTCTGGTCTCAGTCCACTCTCTGGTCTCAGTCCACTCTCTGGTCTCAGTCCACTCTCTGGTCTCAGTCCACTCTCTGGTCTCAGTCCACTCTCTGGTCTCAGTCCACTCTCTGGTCTCAGTCCACTCTCTGGTCTCAGTCCACTCTCTGGTCTCAGTCCACTCTCTGGTCTCAGTCCACTCTCTGGTCTCAGTCCACTCTCTGGTCTCAGTCCACTCTCTGGTCTCAGTCCACTCTCTGGTCTCAGTCCACTCTCCTGGTCTCAGTCCTCGCACTGGTCTCAGTCCTCGCACTGGTCTCAGTCCTCGCACTGGTCTCAGTCCTCGCACTGGTCTCAGTCCTCGCACTGGTCTCAGTCCTCGCACTGGTCTCAGTCCTCGCACTGGTCTCAGTCCTCGCACTGGTCTCAGTCCTCTCTGGTCTCAGTCTCATGGTCTCAGTCCCTCGCACTGGTCTCAGTCCACTCTCTGGTCTCAGTCCACTCTCTGGTCTCAGTCCACTCTCTGGTCTCAGTCCAATCTCTGGTCTCAGTCCAATCTCTGGTCTCAGTCCAATCTCTGGTCTCAGTCCAATCTCTGGTCTCAGCTGTAGTCCTCCACTGGTCTCAGTCCTCGCACTGGTCTCAGTCCTCGCACTGGTCTCAGTCCTCGCACTGGTCTCAGTCCTCGCACTGGTCTCAGTCCTCGCACTGGTCTCAGTCCTCGCACTGGTCTCAGTCTCGCACTGGTCTCAGTCCTCGCACTGGTCTCAGTCCTCGCACTGGTCTCAGTCCTCGCACTGGTCTCAGTCCTCGCACTGGTCTCAGTCCTCGCACTGGTCTCAGTCCTCGCACTGGTCTCAGTCCTCGCACTGGTCTCAGTCCTCGCACTGGTCTCAGTCCTCGCACTGGTCTCAGTCCTCGCACTGGTCTCAGTCCACTCTCTGGTCTCAGTCCACTCTCTGGTCTCAGTCCACTCTCTGGTCTCAGTCCTCTCTGGTACCTGGTCTTGGCCTCCTGGACTTGCTCTGGTCTCAGTCCTGTCCAGGGCAGATGTCCGCTGAGCCAGTGCAGCAGACAGAAGCCCAGGATCTGGAGGTCACTGCGCCGCGACGGAGCTGAAAGAACAACATCATATGAAGTGGAAATAAATAAAGCTGAGGTCCGTAACTTCCAAACAACAATAGAACTATGTACCGGTAATAAAACACAAACGGTCACTGGTGTTGGTCTCTGTCACCGACCCAAGAGAGACCAGAGAGAGACCAGAGAGAGACCAGAGAGAGACCAGAGAGCGAGAACACAGAGAGAGAGACCAGAGAGAGACCAGAGAGAGACCAGAGAGAGACCACAGAGAGACCACAGAGACCAGAAAGAGAGACCACAGAGAGAGAGACCAGAGAGAGACCAGAGAGAGACCAGAGAGAGACCAGAGAGACCAGAGAGAGACCAGAGAGAGACCAGAGAGAGCATGTTTTGTACAGAGATGAACACAGCTTGTTGTGGTCTGACTTACTCTTTCTGCTCGAGCAAACTACATGTGTGATCTATGAAACAAAATGTCAGGTCCCCCAGCTTTAAAACCAGGTGTGGAAGTGTGGACTCAGACCATAAACCGTTACAAACACGTCCACAGACTGCCAGACCGGAGCAGGGGCTGGGGACTGGAGGCTCGATAGTCCCTGGTCTCTGGTCTCTGGTCTCACGGCTCTGGAGAAATTACCTATTGACGTCGACGATGGTCCCCGAGGCCAGAGACGCATCGACCGCTGTGTTCTGTGTCGATAGTAACCAGACGCTATGGTGGAGAGAGAGACCTAAGACCAGAAAGAGACAGGAGAGAGAGACCTAAGACCAGAAAGAGACAGGAGAGAGAGACCTAAGACCAGAAAGAGACAGGAGAGAGAGACCAAAGACCAGAAAGAGACAGAAGAGAGAGACCTAAGACCAGAAAGAGACAGAAGAGAGAGACCTAAGACCAGAAAGAGACAGGAGAGACCTAAGACCAGAAAGAGACAGGAGAGAGAGACCAAAGACCAGAAAGAGACGGAAGAGAGAGACCAGAGACCAGAAAGAGATAGGAGAGAGCCCAAAGACCAGAAAGAGATAGGAGAGAGCCCAAAGACCAGAAAGAGACAGGAGAGAGACCTAAGACCAGAAAGAGACAGGAGAGAGAGAGACCAGAGAGAGATCATAGAGAGGCAGACCAGAAAGAGACAAACTAGAGAGAAACCAAAGACCAGAACGAGACCGATGAGAGAGAGAGACCAGAGAGAGATTAGAAAACTGCTTTTATTATGTCTGAATAAGGACACACTTGGTTCAGTAGAAAAAGCAGATCCTCGTCAGTGGAAGACTCAGTCCTGACTGTGTATAAACCGTTGCTGGTGTCGTGTTGTAATTATCCACATTGTTCCGGAGTGATGGTCTCCGCGCTCTTCACCTCCCACCCACCGCACGGCGCTATAATTACAGCGTTTAGCTCAGGGTCACGTCGTCATGGAGACCACTCATGTCCCAAACACAAACAAGAGAGTTTTAAAAAGTGTTTTGGCTCAACTTTTTCTGGTTTGGAGCTTTTTGATGAGGGACAAGGTTGGAACGAGGTGATTAAAGCTGAGGTACGTAACTTTAAAACCACAATAATAGAACTCTGTAATTATAACCCATGTCTCAGTTGCTTCTACTAGTTTTCACAACATGTCATTTTTGGTCCACATGGTCTGATCCACATGGTCTGATCCACATGGTCTGATCCACATGGTCTGATCCACATGGTCTTGTGGACCATGTGCAGTCTATGGTGGTCCTCTCTGAATTCCTTTTCTGTTGGAAAAAAACTGATCTAAAAGATGTGAAAGAGGATAGAAACTCTCTCTCTCTCTCTCTGGTGTCTCGCTCTGGTGTCTCGCTCTCTCTGGTCTCTCTCTCTCTCTCTCTCTCTGGTCTCTCTCTCTCTGGTCTCTCTCTCTCTGGTCTCTCTCTCTCTGGTCTCTCTCTCTCTCTCTCTGGTCTCTCTCTCTCTCTCTCTCTGGTCTCTCTCTCTCTCTCTCTCTGGTCTCTCTGGTCTCTCTGGTCTCTCTGGTCTCTCTGGTCTCTCTCTCTCTGGTCTCTCTCTCTCTCTGGTCTCTCTGGTCTCTCTCTCTCTGGTCCTCTCTGGTCTCTCTCTCTCTGGTCTCTCTGGTCTCTCTCTCTCTGGTCTCTCTGGTCTCTCTGGTCTCTCTCTCTCTGGTCTCTCTGGTCTCTCTCTCTGGTCTCTCTGGTCTCTCTCTCTCTGGTCTCTCTCTCTCTGGTCTCTCTGGTCTCTCTCTCTGGTCTCTCTCTCTGGTCTCGCTCTCTCTCTCTCTCTGGTCTCTCTCTCTCTCTCTCTGGTCTCTCTGGTCTCTCTGGTCTCTCTGGTCTCTCTGGTCTCTCTGGTCTCGCTGGTCTCGCTGGTCTCGCTGGTCTCGCTGGTCTCGCTGGTCTCTCTCTCTGGTCTCTCTCTCTGGTCTCTCTCTCTGGTCTCTCTCTCTCTC